AAAAAAAAAAAAAAAAAAAAAAAAAAAAAAAAAAAAAAAAAAAAAAAAGAATAAGAAGAAAACAACAACAATCAACCTTAATTCTTAATATTTAGCATTCTTTATCATTTGAAAAGGATCAACCAAGAACCAACCTATTCATTCAAACATAACATGTATACATACATGTAAAGAACCGTTTACAGCAATAAGTAAGACTGAACATCCTACATCCAAAAGGAAAAGCCCGTAGTTGTTCCGCTTCCAAATACACATTCAATCTTGTAAATTGAGAAATATGGAATGTCATGAAAACGTTTAACAAAACAAACCCAACCTCTAGCAATATAACCTCCTAATTAAACCAGCAAGTTGCAAATTGAAATGCATCCAATGTCGTGTTACAAACTTTAATGATCATCCACAAAATATTGAACTTCTAAAAGTTTCTCACCATCAAAATTTGTAATGTCGTGTAATGGTCTTGCAAAATTTGTTGAGATGCAAATAAGTCAACCTAGACTCCACGATTGTTTAAGAAAATAAAGAGGCAATCCCTATGATTCGCTCTTGTATGAAAGAATAAAAAACTTAGGAAGAGAAATAGAAAAATTAAACTAAATTACTATTCCTGTCATCTACATCTAAGCAACAATTTTTTCTTTTTTCCTTCATGACTCGTGCTGTGGTTTGATCATACACCAACCCTTCTAACTTTCACGACAGAAATAATTTGATTTTTATGAGACAGCCCAAGTAAGTTTTATAGAAAAATAGAGAATAAATAACTTATTTTAAACAAATAGCATTCAATATTTTGTCCCCTCAACTGTTTCGTAATTTCGACTTACAAACACTGACAACTGATCTGATTTTGAAAATGAAACCTTTGTATTATATAATATTTAGCCCGCACAAAATTAAGACTTGGTTCCACTACTTCCCAATATTTGAGTGTATTAAGCCCATTGACTATAAGCCATACCGTTTTTTAGTTGCATCATGGGTGGTTTTCTTTTCAATTGGTTGCTTTTCAAAAGGAGGGCAACCATCACGTTTCCACCACACCTACAAGTACATTTGGGATAACATTTAAGCTATAAAATGGTTATTGCAGAAAACAAGAATATGATAAGCAGGACTCACCCAATTATTTTCACGTTCTAATATATGCTCAATCTTCTGAAGAAATTCTTTCCCTCTTGGCGGTGTCACCTCAAGCAACTTCTTCACACGCTCCTCGCAAGATTTAATTTCTTCTCTCTAAAATTTTAAAATTTTTTTTTTTTTTAAAAAAAAGGCATACAGTAATGCATTTAGAAAAAACATTTAAGAAGGAATAATAATAAATTTTGACAGGAAATAAACAGGAGGTATAGGAAAAGTATCCAACCATTTTATGTTAGAAGAAATGAATCAAAAGGAAAAAATAAAATAAAAATTTTGATGTTCCTTTAACCAATTCAGTATCAGCATCTAGCTGTCACCTTTCCATTAACCATAATAATTATAAAAAAGGAAAAAAAAATTGATATTTCTCAACGCCTCAGACATTGATGTTGAAAAGTTCTCATGGAAAAATACACACTTCATCAGAGATTTTGTTGGCTGGTAAATGGGGGTGAAAAACAAAACAAAATAGCATTTAACTTGGAATGGTTTCTAATTTTTTAAAAAAAAATTAAATATTCAAGAAATTGTTCAGAAGGCAAGAATCAACAAGAGAAATTTGTAATTTAAGATTCAAGTAAGGTTTGCAAGATAGTGGAAAGGGTAGAACTGCTTAAAAATAGCATATGTTACTAACCATGGTTTCAGATGGAACATCTTTCTCATTCTTTCCTGGGGCCTAGAACAAGAAAAATACTAATTAGAACTACTGCAAACTTATCGAAAACTAATTCTGCATAAGAATTTTAGAACATACTGTATAAACTACCTTTAGATAATCAAACAATATAAGGCACTGCACAAGAACGTGGCGTCGAAAACTTGGATCCTTTAACTGCAACACACAAAAAAAGAAGGGAAATAGAAAATGGAGACACAGCCAAGCTAGTTGCCTGACAAGTAAAAATTTTAAAACTTTAGTATTCATATGATCTATAGATCAAACTTACTTCTAAACCCATCAGTTTACTACTAGTAAGATATTTTATGCTGAAGGTTGCTGACTCCTCCTCCAACATGTTAGCATCTCCCTCTTCATCGGACAAAGGTTGTGCATCAAAGGTATTCAACACAACCTTTATGTTTCAAAATCCAAAATAAATGCACTTTATCAGATATATGTATTTGAAAACTAAAACGTATCACAATCCACAAGTTTTAAAAAAAAAACACGAGCTAATTCTACATTAGTAAGAAACTAAATAGACAAGAACAAAAAGGTTTACCGCTAAACTCGATGTGAACTTTTGCCACTTTGTTGAAGCAAGAGTAAGGGAGGCAGGATTACAGAAGTATTCCTGGACAAGAATACACATCAAATTTTGTTACGATTACCCAAGAATTGAGACAGTTAAATTTCACAAAAATAATTGCATTAGCAGCTGAAATTTTATAATAAGATGAAACTGTAAGATAGTAATATTATCGGAATGAAATTAATTAGATCATTGTGAATTATGTACATACCTTTAAAAGAAATCATAATTATTTAATTTGTTTAAAAAAAAGGATGTTGGTTCAATCAAAATTCAAAGGATAAATAAACTAACATTACAAGGCCAATACTCTTAGTATTTACCAAGAGAACTTTAAAAGATTATCAATTAGTCATTTAGTCAAAAGGTTGTCAGAAATTCTATCTGGATTGGACTTCCAGACTCTACTTGAAAGATGAGAGGCAATCTTCAAACAAATGACAAAAAAAACCCACTGACCACCACTTTATGTTCCAACATTACCTGTAAACTCCAAAAGGTCTTGTAAAAGTTGAAATCAATAGAAAAGCCTGAAACAAAGAAATGAAATATCACACGCTTGAATGTTAATGTAAATTTAAAATAATAAAAATAATAGATAAATAAATAAAAGCATGAAAGGAGCAAAAGAAACTCTAGTACTTTGATTTTCTAGAATGGAAAGAATATTGCCATTAAAGAAAAGATTAAATGCTGCAATAGCATACCATCTGGGGGTTCTTTCTCATATTTTGTTTCATTGGAGGTGTTGAACACTCCTTTTATATTCACAGCTGCAACAATAGATCCAGAGAACAATATATATGAAAAATATTCAATAAATATTAAAAAAAATAATAACATTACAAAATGAAGATGGGTTCTGAAATACATACCAGAACGTTCAGATAAAGGGAAAAAATGTGCTAGAAACATCAGAATGCGTCCACAAAACACCACATCACTTGCCTAAATTAAAATCGAGAAATTTGTACCATAATTAGTTCTTTTGTAAAAGAGAGAGAGATGGCTCAACTATACTGCTGATTGGAAAAGTATTTTTCTGATAAGAAGCGGTGACCATTAATCAAAGAGAACAGAAATTTTCCTACATATAAATAAAAGTTAAAAAAAATATATATGAGCAAATAAATATAAGTTGACCTAAAGGATAAGTTTAACAATCTATAGACTAGAATTAATTTTGTATTGAAATATTTTCATGCTCCATTTTTTGGTCTAATCATCATCCTGTTCGCTTGTTCTGATGGCAACCAATTACATTTCCCAGATTGTATCCCACAAGGATGTTATAGTTAATATCTGATAGCGGAGAACTGTCACTACCATTCATCACTAACTTAACAAGGTGCTAAAACTAGGTGTCAATGCTGCTAAAACTACTTTGTGGAGTGTTTGGTTGGAAAGAAATAGCAGATTTTTTAAAAAATAGGCAAAATATTAGTAGGAGGTGTTCAAATGAGCTAAGTTCTTTTTTTTTTTTTTTTAAATACGAAACTCGAGAGTATATACATGGAAAGAAGATATAACTAACTGGCAGGGGAAAGAGAAAATCCCCTCCCAGAGAAAGCTAAAATTAACGAAGTTTCATGGCACTTGTTCGGTTTCCAGGTTTTGAATTTACAATTTGTTCACACAAATCGGATTAGTTGGGAGGGATGAGTTGAGAAGTCTCAAGAAACCAATTAAATGTTTGTTCTTGCGTCTTAAAAAAGAAAAGGAGAGAAGGAGAAAAGAAAAGAACTTCTTCCTCAAGTTCTGTGCATGTGAACCACTAGAAAATTTTCAAAATGAGACTTCAAAGATTAAAAATAATGCAATTGCAATACAATTTAGTACCTTTGATAGACGGCGAAGCAATTGATTGCACGTTCTCAACATGACAAGTTTTCCACGAGCAAAAAGCTCTTGCTGTGTACAAAAGAGCCATGCCATTTCAAAGCAAATAAAGGGACAAAGAATATCTGGAAGTTTAAAATTTACTTCAAAGAAAAATGGAAAAGTTGTATTTCAGTACAAGAGGAAACCTTTCCCAATATATCTTGTTTACTCTCAATGTAACCAAAAATATCTTTGCAGTTCCTCAATGTTGACATTTCAGTCAGATCCTCCAACAGCTGGAATATCATACCTCCTTCGACATGCTCTTTCTCACAAAGATAGAGAACAATGTCTAAGGCAAGAATGAAAACATTAAAGTAATTAAAATGGGACCGAATGTTGAAGGATTAGATACAAACATTTTCATCATTAGTGCAGTCCCAATGCAGTAAAACCTTCAGACTACAAGCAATATACATGGTCAAAACTACATAATTGTTGACAATTCCAAATAAAGATGCATCCATTAATGTTCAAAAATTTCATCTCAATCCAGCTATCAGTCTTGAAAATTAAGGATTTAAAGAAACAGGATTCAAGATATGGAGTACAGGTGCTCAAGCATATAAGATCGTGTTTTCCTGATAGGAACATATAAGATTTTGTTAAGGGTGGAGTATGTCAAAATCATGATGCACATTGGGCTAATTGCCAAGCTAACACGACGATTCATGGTAGGTTCTCAATTTATCTACATAAGATCACTCATTCATGCTTCCACACAAAATGGAAGGATGTTGAATGGCTTGGGCATTTTTCCTATGATCATCTAAACTTCAAGAGGTGGAAAATTATGGTGCTTGGTCCTCCACCGATGAAAGCTCCATGAGAAGTTTGTGAAGGATGTGTTGTTAGCGAACAACATAATTAACAATTTCTGCAAGGAAAATCCTAGAGGACAAAAATGCCATTAAGCGCTGATGTTTTGCACTGATACACCCATGTTCCAATGGAAATTAAAGTACATAATAAGCATTTATTCATGATATGAACCAAGGAATGGCGAACATTGCATGGCTTCTTGGACTCTAAATTGCAGTTTGAAGATCTTGAGATCTTGAAATCTTGGTTTCATTACTTGCATCATATCATAATTATTGTTGAAATATGTGTCTTTTTTTAAGGAAAAATCGGAAGACTTAACTATCTTTAAAAGTTATGAATTGCTTGTACAGAAATAAGCCTTAACAATCCATGTTCAAGGTACCCTCACTTTTAATAAATAATGGATACACACTAACCAGAGAGAACAAAGAATCATCTAGTGGCCAAATACCAAGTGAATTATGATGGAGGGCAAATAATAACTCTCAACCTAGTTTGGACATGCACGGAAGAGGATCAAAAAATTGTTTGGTAATGAAAGAACACCATTTTCACGCTTCTACATTTTTATGGCCTTCTTGTACTTTTTTTTCTTTATCGTGTGAAGTGGTTTTTTAGGAAGGAAAAAAAAAACACATCCTTGCCATCGTCTATCTGTTTTTGTGATTCTCAGATATCTATCTTTTAGAATAGAAAAAAATCAGCAATTAAAATCTGCTACTTCTTTTAAATACACAATAATTAATAAATCATATCATAAAAAAATCAAAATCATATCTATAAATATTATTTCCTATCAGAAAAATAAATGAAAATTAGATCTTTAGGTTACAACAAAAAGTTTGAGTCTAAAATAATGTAATACCTAGAAGACGCGGAATATGACCCTGAGCAGTTTCATTGTCATCAATAGACATCCCATACTGCATTATTGGCTCCGCTGACTGAGCTGCAGATGACTGCACGAATATCCAGTTGAAAATAGACTTACCTCCAACAATACTAGAAAATATAAATGCGAGGCAGAAGAATGGTATCCACATTTGAAATCTAGAAACACTATAAAACACTCATCCCGACCAATGCTTTCTGCTATTATTCTCTTATCATTTCCACTTTTATTTCAAGAGAAACTGATAAATATTCCATTTAATATAAGGATGGAGACAAGAAAGACGTGTCCATAATGAACAAAAACTGTTTCTTTTTGAAAGTTTGAACTTGAAGTGCCAAGTAAAAGAAATTGGTTTTATTCCTTAGTGTTAATGTCCAGATGTTAAAAGAAACCTAGAATAATTAATCAACCTTCCTTTTTTAACAAAATATTGTCCGTTATAAAACTATATAATCACACACAAAACAAACACAGAGTATCCTTCCATCTCTAGATTTCTCAAATAATCCGATTGCTTCATTCCAGAGCAGCTCCCAAAGACTTTTCTGCACTCAGCCAAATGCTTTTGCCTGCCTTCTCAACTTGTGGCCCGAAACAATCATACAAGTTTTCTTAGGCATAATATGATTGACATGACCCATGTTTAATTTGCAAAACAAGGCTATCCAGCAGAAATTACTATATTGACAAAGGATGAATAAATGGTCCTGGCTTTCCCATTCTTATTGCAAACAATACAACACAATAAGCTAAGAGCCGTATTAGGAGGCCTTCTTTGTACCTCCTCTATGTTGACTCTCCCATGGTTTAGGATTTGAAATTTTTTTAAATCACTAGATATTTACATAAAAAATAAATAACAAATTAAAAAAAAAAAGTCTTAATTATGGGACAAACTGTTGTGTATGTAATTTACATAATTTCAATTTCTATATAGTAAGACCTCCCGAGATTGCTAGATTAACAAGAAAACAGAGCATACTTCTAGATTTCAAGATCTCCTTTAACCACTCAATTAAACAAGCTCCAAAATTTAGCTTACCACCAATTCTTGAAGTAATCGCCTTAGAATATTCTCCAGCAACTGATTTTCATCTTGTGCCAATTTTGTGAGCTTCTGTCATATGAAAAATAAAGGATTAAACTAAGTTAAAGAAAGATCTAAAGGGAAATCGTTTTTTTTTTGCAACCAATAAACAAAACTTTCATTTTAAATCAACGAACATATATAAAGGGACCTACAAATTCAAAACCAAAACAAAATAAGCCTACACGAAAACTTTAAACTAGTAATGAACGATAGTAACTCCTTAGAAATGGACGCCAAAAAATAGGCCTTGAACTAGCCAAAGACCAAACTTCATCCAACATGCTCTCTCAAGTTAAAAGACTTTGTTCTAGATATTTAGAAAATATGATGCCAAGCTTAAAAATTCATAAGTCCTCACTTTTAGAATGTCTATTGATCAAAAGAATGGTTCTCAAAACGAGGTCATTAGGCTACTAGATTAACCATTCAAGTGGAGAGGGCCTCATGCTCCCATGGGGTCAGTCAACTCTAACAAGAATTTTTCTGGGAGAAACAAAAATGATTTCTTGCAGGAAAATGACAAGGAGGGAAGGAAGCCACCATTCTTGAGTATCCTTATTGAGGATGGGCCATTTTGTAAGCCCTAATTCTTGAGTGCTGGGAGGCCAGTGGAGATGCCTTGTCCCCAGCCTTCTCTTCTTTTTTGTGTGTATATTCTTTCAATCATTAAATCCCTTCAGTCTCTTATATATAGTGATAATAATGATCCAATGAGAAGAATCAAACTAGAACAGAACCCTCACCCCCCAAAAAACCAAAAAACTTTTCAACTTTAAATTTATTGGTCAAACTTGCACTTTCCATCTGACTTTAAAACATTCAATACTCAATGAAGTCCATATGAACTTGTGAGGTGTTATTTTAATGCCATACAATTAGTCCAACGTTTTAGCGTAGCTACCTGAGGTTTGATAACATCTTGAACTGTCTGCAGAGCAAAATTTTCTGGTGGCGCCGTTTGTAATATGGCTTTCCGGAACTCTTCCTGGAAAATAAGAACACAGCTGCATGATGCTTGGAGAACAATGTATTAAAATATATACATATTCATACAAGACCAGAATTGATTTGAATAGTTTCTGGATCAACATGCCCAAATACTAATAAATTCATCTTAAGTTCCTATATCACCAAACACGGATCGAATTGTTCCGCTAAAAGAATCGATTGTTTGCAGCTGATATAATCAATTACAGCCAGACTATTCAATTTTCTTAGTACTCTGCCCTATTTGAAAGTAAAGGAATCTAGAACTTCAGCTTTTCAACTGAAATTTTATCTATTACAGCCTGGCTATGAACTTCAAACAGTATAAACATGGAAAATCACGTTTCCTCACCTCGCATTCAAAATAAAAATTTCCGGTTAACCATAAAAGAAGTTCGAAACCCGTACGAGACAATCCTAACAGCTAATAACATGTAATCTCCCGAACCAGAAAACCCTCCACTCACAATCATCAATTGAAACAAACATTTCCGTGCCTTACTAAACAATAATTTCAAAGAAAAATTGAGAGTGATACGTTCTAAAGACTAGCCATTGCCATCCAGACCGCTAAAAGGGCTGAAGAATCCCGCGCTACAATTTACACTAGAACAAAGACCTTAAGAACAAATCCAGGCTCGTAGAATGTAAGTTTACCATGACGAGGATTCAGAAATTGGAACTTCCGAATGATTCCTATGCGTTCGGGAGACTGAATCATCAGCTGGCAGAAAACACGTCGACTCTCAGTGTCGGCCGAGCTTCGAAGTCCTCTCCTATGAACGAAGAGAACGCGATGAAAGCTTTCTTTCGCAAATTTCTTATTGAATTTTCTTTTTAATTTATAAATTTAGCATAAATTATAGTTTCTCAAAATTTTAAATTTTTAAATATGCTTTGTTTAAGATGTCGAAAAAAATATGTAAATAAAATATTTAAGAATTAAATAACTGTATATTATATGGTAAATGTTATTATAACTCCATTTAATTTTATTAAATTAATTTTAGTTTTATAAGCTTTTCTAGTTTATTTTATAATAAATTTTAATAATTATCTTTTTAATAAAATTATATAAACATTTAATAATAAATAGTTAGTCTAATTTATATTTGAAAAATTAAATATTGCATCATATAAAAAATTATATTAAATGAGATACTTATAGATTTATAATAATTTATTAATAAAATAATAATATGCCTTCAACTTTAATTTAATTTTTATCCGTTAATATGTATACTATAAATAATAAGCAGTTATTTAGTTTGTTTAGCTATCAACATTAATAATTATTCTCAAATAAATGATTTTAATATAATTTTACACAAATTTATTTGTAATTAGTACAATAATCGGATTTAATATGATTGATATAATTTAATTAATTTATTTTTATAATTTTATAAATAATTATAGCGTTGACTTTTAAAATAATCTTTTAAATTAAAACGTAACTCGAACATGCTAGTGGCTTGTTTAAAATAATAATAATAATAATATTCAGCCAAATTTACACTTAGATGACGAGTTTTGTGTTTAAGCCGTTCGTTGTTTATTGTTACAATTGTTATGGTCAATCAAAAGCAAGAATTTATTTAGCTCGGTGTAGGAATTTTAACGCCTCAATGCATTTCATGGAGTGTTAGCTAGCTCTGGATTCGAGTGGTATTTCACGTCTAACCACTACTCGTCACTGGTTCTTCAACATTAGTCGATTATTTTTACCCAAACTTCATTTTAGTCATGGATTGATCACCCAGGTTCAGGTCTATAAGGTCCCACAAAGATTAGGTTTCACTATGGCTCCGATGGATTCCCTTAACCAAGCCACTGCCTGTGAGTCGTCAACTTGTTCCTCAACAAGTACATGATCAAAGTCTTGGTTTTGTCTAACTGCATATACGTTTACGGGTTCGTGTTCTATTTCACTTTTTGATGGGGTTCTTTTCACCCTTCACTCATGATACTATTTCACTATCGATCACTTATGAGTATTTAGTCCTGTAAGGTGGTTCTTGTTGATTCACACGGGATTCCACGTGTCCCATGCTATCACAGGTCACAACGTAAGCTAATGATACTTTTGGCTACTAAACTCTCACCGTTTTTCACCCTTCACTCACAGTACTATTTCACTATCGGTCACTTATGAGTATTCAACCCTGTAAGGTGGTCCTTGTTGATTCACACGGGATTCCACATGCCCTATGCTACTCAGGTCGCAACGTAAGCTAATGATGCTTTTGGCTATTAAACTCTCGCCGTTTAGGGTGCATCACTCCACTGTAACAAGTCCACATACTTTAACACGGGCAATAATTTAGTATAAAAAACTATAATTTAATACAATTTAGTCTATATACTTTCAAATTCTTACGGTTTAGTTCACAAATTTTTATGTTTAACACATATTATCCCGATATTCAAAATTAACGTTCGTGGCACGTGCATGTTGTATTCCAATCTCGTGTGTATATTTTGACTACACCACTCTTATTAAAATTACAACAATATTCATGTTTGGTAATTAAAATTAATATTGTTAAATAAATTGAAATATTAATTAATATTTTAAGTAATAAATTAATTTTAATCTAAGATTAAAAAAATAATTTTTAAGACTAAGGATGAAATAATTACCAAAACGAAGCATTTAAATATATAGAAAAACGTAAATTAAAATGCATTAAATTTGCAATGGAAATAAAATAAAAAGACGTTTTAACTTATTTTTACAAAATAGGAAAATGAGGATAAAGTAATTAATAATTATCGAATATATGATTAACAAATTTGGAATATAGTGTTTTATTATTATTACTATTATTATTATTTTGTTTTTGATGACCTGGAAATTCCTTCTCAAGTCTGGGCAAGGAGAATGCGTATCGTCTCATCGGTCATTTTAAACGACGTCGTATCGGAAGACGAAAAGGCCAATCCCATGGGCCCCACTCACACGGGTGGACCGTCTCATTGATGATGTTGACTTTTTACCTCGGTAATTTTTATATTAAATTATAAAATTAATTTTCAACTTTTGATTTAATAATTATAAAGTATAAATTTTATTTTGGCACAAAATTTAAAATTTAAAATTTTATTAGACAGAATTTAATTTTATATCTGATAAAATAATTAATTTTATTTTTTAAAAATAATTACGAGTATAATCGAGCTGTTAACATACTATAATAATAATTATTTTTAATATTTTAAATTTATATGGACAAGAAATTCGAATTAAATATATTTTTTATAAAATCAAGAAAAAACTAATTGAATGAATAAACATGCGTTGTGAGCAAATTATAAAGATAAAATTTTATTTATTTTTTTTGTTTTAAAAAAATGATCGTGGATGAAAATCTGTAATTTAACCACGGTAAAAATAAAAGAAGGTAAATTCCGCCACCTCGCCATAACGGCGTTTACCCGGTTCTTCATACCCGAGTGCGACCGAGCGAATCCCGTAACGGTGGGAATTTTTGGCGGTAAAAGAACCTAACGTATTCCACGCGTCGCTCTCCCATTGGATGGGGATATATGTATGTATGTATATCGGGCATGGTAGCATGACATGTTGTTTTTCCCGCGCAAGACTATGCCAAAGGGTTTTCCTGGAAGAGTGAGAACAGAAGCCCCAAAATTTTAGAGAGAGAAGGGGAACGGAGGAATTCAGAGAGAACAAGCGACAGAGTGAGAAGATAGGGTTCGCGGTTTCGCCCTGGATTCAGTCTCGACGGAGAAAGCCGGCCATTGGAAGGGCTTCTTTACTGGATCTGCTGGTTGGTGGGAGTTCAATTAGAGATCGGACTCATTTCTGAAGCCTTTGGCGAGCAGTTTTGGTCTGCTTTTTTCTTGTTTTTCTTCCTCGTGGTTTTTAAGGGCGTTTTTTTTTTTTTCCGTTGAATGTTGTGGTGCTTTTCGTACCATGAATTTCTTGGTTTCTTGTCGGCGCTTTGTTGTAAACTCGTTTCCGAATTTTTATTCTTGAAGTACGTGTGTATTTGGAGGGAATAGAGGTGATTTTGAAGTGATAGGATGGGTATTTGCTGAGAAAACGAATATGGAAATTCCCATAGGTATGATTTTGTAGGAAGGGGCTGTTTAGTAATTAGTTTGTGGGTGTGTGGGTGTATGAACTAGCTTACTCGTTTGATAAATGTCGGGGGTTTGTGTTCTAGAGAATTGATTTTTACTGTAGTCTTCGCATTTTTTTAAGTATTAAAGGCGCCCTTATTACTAGCTTTGGAATACCTGTTCTTATAGTTTTGGTTTCTCAAATTTAATGAACTAAATGGATTGTATGTATCAGCTAGGGTTGTGTTCACGGAAAACATGGAGGAGACGAAGCCATCAGCTACAAATAATTGCCATACCGATGGCGAACCAGACACTGTTGAAGTTCAATTCACAGAATTATGTCAGGTGTTTTTTCCCCTTCTGGTGCCTTTCTTTGTGATTTGTTCTTTTTTAGTGCACACATACATTTTACCGTAATTATAATTTGGCTGCAGAATGGATTACGTCTGGATGAGAGTTGTTGTAATCAAGCGTTGAGGTTATTTAGAGAAACCAAGCACCTTTTGGTGGCGAATATATCAGCAATTGGGAGTGGAATTGTATATATATCTTTTAATTATTTTCAAGATTGATTTATTCTTTTTAATAAAAACCCCTTAAATCTAACCAAGTTTTACTTTAACAGCCTGAAGAAGCCGAACGTTTTTGGTCTGCTTTTGTTTTATATTCTGTGAAGAGGCTGAGAGATAAGGATCCAGAGAGTTCACATTCAGGACCTGAGAACAATAGCTTCACTTTATGTCATATATTGAGAATTTGCAAGCTGAAGTACGTTTTTATTGATACTGTTTTGTTTCACTTCTTAGTAGATTCTATTTGTATAGACTTTATTATTCATTTTTTTTTTGTTATCCTGCTTATCATCCAGTATTGTAGAATTTTTTAAAGAGCTGCCTCAGTTTGTTGTTAAAGCTGGTCCAGTATTGAGTAATATCTATGGTGCGGATTGGGAAAATAGACTAGAGGTACAGTAATTTTTGGCATATATTTTGAGAGCTTATTTTATACAATGTCATCATGTATTTTTGAATTAAGAGCGTGTTTTATTTAAATTACTTATTGTTTTTCTCGTGTATTTCCATTTTTGCAGGCAAAGGAGTTGCAGGCTAACTTTGTGCATTTGAGCCTCTTAAGCAAGTTAGTGTTCTTTCCTTGGTGCTTTGCAAGATTAATTAGGGGCTCTAAACTAGTTTTTTTTTTTTTTTTTTTTTGTTATAGCATCTTTTATTTCCTTGCTTTGTTTGCATTGTGCAAATCATTCCAGATTTTGTAAATTATTTAAATCACACCTACGTTTCAAGGTACTATAAGCGTGTCTACCAAGAATTCTTCTCCACCAGTGATGCTAATGTTGACAAGCAGTCAGCTAAATCCTGCCATACTGGTTACTTGTCTGATTACCATCGTTTTGGATGGTTGTTGTTTTTGGCACTTCGTGTACATGCTTTCAGTCGTTTTAAGGACTTGGTGACCTGCACCAATGGTTTGGTTTCCATTTTGGTGAGTTTTGTTCTTCTATGAATCTATGACTGCTGTAATTAGTGATAATGGAATGATCTAAGTAGCATTAATGGATCGATGCTGTTCATGAGTTATCTTTTTCTCTGGTCAATCTGAACATAATATTCAGGGTGCTAAAATTATTATTGTGGATTAGAATCATATCAGATTTATCAAACATAATGTTGAATATATGTACAAATGACCGCCCAGCCTTATAAGCAGTAAACTCTTTGACAGGCTATATTAATTCTTCATGTTCCTGTTCGTTTCAGAAACTTCAACATTCTTGACTCTGAACGCTTCGGTAATATTCTCTCCAAATTTGTTATGCCATTTTATTTTCTTATAAAAAAAGTTGTCTTTTTCTTATAGTTGCTTAGCTCGCCTATATTTTGTTCAGTTAAGAAAGGAGGAAAAGGAGTGGACCTTCATAGATCACTTTGTAATGTCTATGACACCTCAGAGGAAGAACTGAGGGAAGTGATGGAGAAGGCCAATAGTTTGATAGAAGACATTTTGAAGAAGAAGCCTTGTTTGGCTTCTGAGTGTAACAGTAAAAGCTTGGAGAATATCGACACTGGTCAGTTCCAGTGTGCTGCATTTGATGATTCAGTTGCACTCTATTTTATATTTTACATGCCCTTTGCGAAATTTTCATTTTTTCCTTTGGTATTTACTGCAGAGGGTTTGATATACTTTGAAGACTTAATGGAGGAGGCATCTCTTTCATCCAGTTTAGAAATTCTAGAAAAGGACTATGAAGATGCAATTCGTAATAAAGGTGAGCTTGATGAGCGGGTGTTTGTTAATGACGAAGATAGTTTACTTGGGTCAGGCAGCTTGTCAGCAGGTGCTGTTACAATGAATGGCATCAAGGTATTTTCTTCTGAGTTATGCTCATATTCCATTCCAATGACAACCTACATATTGGTACTTTATTTTCTTATATTCCCATATGGGTTATGATTTTGCTTATAATCTCTTCAGAGGAAGTTTGACTCAATGGGCTCCCCTGCAAGGATGATGACTAGTCCAATGTCTCCACTTCGCTCTCCTTCTTCACATGTTAATGGCACTCTTAATAGTGGCAATGCAAAACTTGCTGCCACACCTGTTAGCACAGCTATGACGACAGCAAAATGGCTCAGAACTGTTATTTCTCCACTTCCAGCAAGACCTTCAGCAGAGATGGAGCGCTTTTTGGCTTCATGTGATAGAGATGTAACTAATGATGTAGTTCGTAGGGCACATATAATATTAGAGGCCATATTTCCAAATAGTGCTCTAGGAGAACGTTGTATACCTGGAAATTTACAAAGTGCAAACCTCATGGATAACATCTGGGCAGAACAGCGACGACTAGAAGCACTGAAGTTATATTATAGAGTTCTGGAAGCAATGTGCAGAGCAGAGTCTCAGATGCTGCATGTGACTAATTTGACCTCTTTGCTGACTAATGAGAGGTTCCACAGATGTATGCTGGCTTGTTCTGCCGAATTGGTTTTGGCCACACATAAAACTGTTACAATGTTGTTTCCTGCAGTTTTGGAGAGAACTGGCATTACAGCTTTTGATCTTAGTAAGGTGATAGAAAGTTTCATTAGACATGAAGAATCACTTCCTAGAGAGTTGAGGCGACATCTTAATTCGTTGGAAGAACGGCTATTAGAGAGCATGGTATGGGAAAAAGGTTCGTCAATGTACAACTCCCTGATTGTTGCTAAACCTTCCCTTGCTGCTGAAATAAACCGTATGGGTTTATTAGCTGAACCCATGCCATCTTTGGATGCGATTGCTGTTCAAATTAACTTTTCTGGTAGTGGGGTATCAACCATGCCGATTCTGCAAAAGCATGAGAGTTTGCCAGGTACTCTTGTTTTCATCTTTGGTTTATTAGCATTAAAATTCAATTGTTTAACGCATGGACATGACTTGTAAAATGCAGCATTAGCAGAAAATAATCTAGTTGTCATCTTAACGTTTGCAGAAATCATCAGTTTTTGTGTTTTAATCTTTATAGATAGAAATTATTTTGACTGCCTTGGAGTTTGTTTCTGTCCAAAAGCGTGCATTTAATTTAACAAATATGTTTCTTTTCTTTCCCTAAATTATGAACTTGGATCTGTTTGGTCATCCTTCAGGTCAGAATGGGGATATAAGGTCACCGAAAAGATTGTGTACAGACTTAAGAAGTGTGCTAGTGGAACGGAATTCCTTTACTTCTCCAGTGAAGGACCGTCTCCTGGCGTTCAGTAATATTAAGTCTAAGCTTCTACCACCTCCTTTACAGTCAGCATTTGCAAGGTATAATCTGCCTCTTCTAAGTGCTACTACTAACTACTAAACCATTTTACATGCTTTATAACCTTATTTGCAGTCCTACTCGGCCTAATCCTGGAGGAGGTGGCGAAACGTGTGCTGAAACTGGAATTAGCATATTTTTTAGCAAGGTATAAAACATATCTTCTAATTGTCTTTTGATTGGAAGTGTAGTGGTCAGTCATTAACTGTATGATTGTATTAGATATCGTGGATTTGTGAGTAGGGTAAGGATGTCTACTTCTGGCTACTGTGGTATCAAGATAACTGAACAGTTTTGGACATCCTAATTCGTGATTTCTAAAGGACAGTAAGATGACAATTTTATAAAAATGATGAATGGATCAAATTACTTGACTTATTACTCAAATAATGTGATTAAAGTTTGGGGAGCAAACGACAATGATAAGTGTGTGTGACCTGCACTCTTTATTCACATGTTGAGAATATGAGATCTCTCATCCTAGTGGATTTTTTCTATTCTGTTTCCCCTTCCCATTGCTGTTATCTATGATTTTTATTTTTCTATTGTTTTCCTTTAACCATTTTGATAATAAGCGCTTTGCACGATTTTCAACTTTTAGATCGTCAAGTTGGCTGCTGTTAGAGTAAATGGTATGGTGGAAAGGTTGCAGTTATCTCATCAGATCAGGGAGAATGTCTACTGCCTTTTCCAACAGATACTCAGTCAAAAGGCATCATTATTATTTAATCGTCACATTGACCAGATCATCCTCTGTTGTTTCTATGGCGTTGCAAAGGTTTGCTCTAAAGGATGTTGACAGAGATTTTTATACCTGCTCTTCTTTTTTTAAAAAAGAAAGTTTTTGATATGTTTGGGTTCAGTTTCTTTATAAGCTTATTAACACAAACGATGTTGCAGATATCTCAATTGAGCCTCACGTTTAGGGAAATCATTTACAACTACAGGAAGCAACCACAGTGCAAGCCACAGGTCTTTCGCAACGTGTTTGTTGATTGGTCTTCAGCACGTCGTAATGGGGTATGCTGTTTTTTTTAAAAAAGAATTTGATTAATAAATGCACATTGCAATGGGAAGTCTAACTCCTTGAATGCTCTGGGATTCAGAGATCTGGACAGGATCATGTGGATATAATTACGTTCTACAATGAAATATTTATTCCGTCTGTAAAACCTTTGCTTGTTGAGATTGGCCCAGCTGTTTCGACCATGAAAACCGACAGAGTTCCTCAAGTTATCAATAATAGTGATGGTATACCTGGTCAAGTTTATTTTGGCTGTAATGGTGATGTCGTATTTGCAGTTTACATATCATTTCTAAATATGTTTTTTGGTCGTCTTCTGTCTTATGATTAGCACCTTGTCCTGGATCACCTAAGATATCTCCTTTTCCAAGTCTTCCCGATATGTCTCCAAAGAAAGTATCTTCAGCACATAATGTTTATGTCTCTCCATTAAGATCATCAAAGGTATTTGTATATTCATGCATTCGATTTAATTCATCTTTGTATTAATTTATTTTGTTAGTTATTTCCTTTTAACATGAGTCATGATATTGTTCAGCATTCGTGTTACGGGTTTCATAGGCTATCTTTTGCATCGTTTTATTCTTAAAATATCATGTAATAATCTTTATTCTGATGCAACAATTAAGGTAATCATGCACCGCAACACAGAGCTATGGTAATGTCGATGTTTCAGTTCAACATACACGCCCATCAATAATTTGAAAAAAAGTTAGATAAAATTATTCCCATGGGTCATCATTGTGTGGCATGTATCGTTTATGATCACATGACTTGTTGCTTATCTTACCTCACAAAAAAAGAGGGAAGAAAAACTTATTGCTTATCCTTGTCATACCCTTATCCGTTTAATAGATGATCCGTATCTCATGGTTTCTTATGCTATAACCTGGCCCAGAGATGGCACTTTTTAAAGGTGTGGATTTTTTTTAGTAAACCCGTGGCGCTTGCTTTATTCATATTGCATTCTGTAGTGGCATGTCGTTGTCTTTAGTTAAATTCTATCTTTGTGGTGTTTCATCCGGATATAATATATATATATATATTTTTATGAGATCAAGTCTTTTTTCAATAACCACATCACCACATCACTTGATGGTCACGAACTTCTGACCTCTTGATTGAGAATATATTTCTTAACTAATTGAGCTATACTATGTTATATTTAACCAACTTTTGAAAAATTGTGTACAGATGGATGCGTTGATTTCACATAGTTCTAAAAGCTACTACGCATGCGTGGGGGAGAGCACTCATGCGTTTCAAAGCCCTTCAAAAGATCTCACCGCCATAAACAACCGTTTGAATGGGTACGCTTCAATTCACGTCAACTTAATTTTTGGATTGCCATTGCTTTTTAAAAACAAAACAGGATTTTCGTCGTTAATAAAGTGGCATCGTTAATATGCTAATTGACAACATTTCTTCGATTAGAACACGGAAACTCCGAGGCACGTTAAATTTTGACGACGCGGACGTTGGTTTGGTCAGTGATTCTCTGGTGGCTAACAGCCTTTACCTACAAAATGGAAGTTGTGGATCATCTTCCGGTGCACCAATTAAATCTGAACAACCGGATTCTTAGCTTACAATTTTTCAAACCCGCAGGTACATATTTTTATCTATCCATATATATATATATATATTATATATGTTCTCTCTTCTCCCCTCACTCTCTTTGCCTCTAAAGTTGTATTACCACGGGGGTATTGTATTGAGCGGTGAGTTAGTGTGTAGAATAGCCGCCACCACTCCCCTTTGTTTTAGGCACCCATCTGAAATTTGTAGTTGGCTATAATTATTTAGTTTAGTTCAATTTCAGCTGTGTTCAATTTGAGCAATTTAATTCATTGCAGCCTGTTATATGATAATCTATTACCATTTACCAGCAAATGTGCCAATGATCTAGGTAAGATATTATGTAACAAGGAGTAATGTGTTAGTGTCATTGTTTTTCCCCTAAGGTGTACGTTGATACGCGAATTCGGATGAAGAACTGCTAATTTTTTTTATCCAATCACATAGGAAGTTCATTTGTTCGGTTAAGAAATAGAAATAGAAAATAGAATTGGAAAAGTGTATGTTCTTCATTCAGGTTTATTATGTTTAAATAGATACAAACTATTAACTAATACCTAAAAATAAAAAAAAATATATAGCTAACTAAATCTTGTAAATAAATAAAATATACGATTAATCAAATTTATACTAACAACTCCCTAAATATCTCAGATATATTCTAACTAATATATTTTCAAAATATTCTCTTAATATGTTCGTAGTCCAGAAATAATTGTCACTTGATAATTGTGATGTGATGGAGATAGATTTGAATTTCTAACCTCTTGGTTAAATGTGTTAGACCTAATAAATTGAACTATGATCAAGATTGCATAGTATCCAAATTTAGAATTTAGAGAACTTGAATTGGAATTAAAATTACTAACGCTTATCTAAGTGCATAATTGTATTGCTCTAAATGTAATTGTTTCGACATTTCCTTACGACTTGACTTGGATTGTTTACGAGAGTGAATGAAGATTCGCAGATTTGGACCGACACCTTTCAAAGTTATAGCCGAATGCTATTTAACCTACTTTTGATTACTTCTCCCTATTTTCTCCTGTCTTCCTTCCCACTGAGAAAAAATGAGAGGGGAAGAGAGGAGACCACTTAGAAAAAAAGAAGAGCTAGTGGAAAGAAGGGAGCCAAAGTTGAAAGTGAGTAAAAAAAAAAAAACAATAAAAAATGTGAGTAAAAAAAAAAAAAAAAATTGTCTCAGAATTTTCGGTCACCTTACTCTCAATATCTTTCATTTAGACGTAATCTTTTATCTCTAGAACGTCTTAAAATTCTTGCTATGATACCATTTCTAATGCCATGAGCCTAGAATTCAATGATTCAATGATTCAATGAATCTATGTCCAAGCCCTAATCCATATCTTTCACCTTGTCTAGCTACGTTGCGCTCAAAAGCATGGACTTGATATAATTTTGGCACAACGAACCATTATACAACCTAATTGTAAGGCACATTAGGGAATTCCTAGAACATCAAATTCCTCGTTAGGTTCTGTGAAAATACAACATTTGAATACAACAATCATAACAAAACTAAATGGCCTGAATAACCATGGCACATGATTTTAACTCGTTTACGTTCTCAATGCCTATTAATACAACTTACATATTAAGAATTAAGAGTCAAAATTGGGTAAATCCATGAATGAATCTTCTGCTACTATCACAAATAACACGCATGGAGATCGAACAAGTTTCAAAACATAATTAGAAACCAAGCATCTGTCATGTGCTGTTCGGTACTTTATCTTAGTGTGAAAAGTTGTACGGGCCAATGGTGCTTCCTACCATCACTGGCAATCCCAGTAGTCTCGAGTGAAATGTCAATGCTTCGATGTTCGGGCGCACGGACAATGCTAAGTCGCAAATGAACTTTGACAGCAGGAGAGGCAAAGCTGCCCACTGTTGCTGATTTGTTGGTGGTAGATTTGCTAGATGTTATAGCAATTGGTTCTCTGAAGGTTAATATGGTTTGAGACCAGTGAGTTTTGGGAGTGTATGGGGATGTAGATAGAACAGCCGGTGATTCTTTGCAAAATCTGCTTGTAAAACCAGTTTCAAACCATAAGACAACTCCATGACACCAAGATGTTTCAACTTCAACGTTTTCTGATTTGCTTGAAGGATTATGCAAATTTGGTTCCAACTCAGTACTTGCAGTGAAGTCAACTTCGTCAGCATGCATAGTTGCTAGATCAAAAGTCTGTACCAAAAAAACAGAAAACCAAGGCATGTCTTTATAAAAGAAACCAGCATGTGAGATATTTTCAGAGTTACATTACACATACTACCTACGGCAGGGATTAAATCAGTCGACCCATTCTATTAAACCGTACATATGATAATTCTTAAAAATGATGCAAAAATCATGGATAATTGAAGAAACAGCTTAAGACTTGCTAAGCATACCAATCACTAGTAGAGGTGTTTGCAATTTGACCTAAACACAATGCATCTAACTTTTATCCATTTAGGGAGAGGACAAAATCACTGAAAAAGAAGAAGTGTGGAGAAGTATAAAAGATGATGCTGCTAGAATAGTGGAGGTGTTTGCAATTTGACCTAAACACTCACAGATATCAAACAAAAAAAATGAAGACCATGAGTCCTACTAGATGGATGATGTGAGCACTGTAACGACCCTAGACTCAGTGCTAGCAGATATTGTCTTCTTTGGACTTTCCCTTTTGAGCTTCCCCTCCAAGTTTTTGACACTTGCTAGTGAGAGGTTTCCACACACTTATAAAGAATGTTTCGTTCCCCTCTCCAACTGATGTGGGATCTCACAATTCACCCCCTTCGGAGTCTATCCTCTCTTCAATCGCGGTGGGATCTCACAATGTGAGCATAACTTAAATAGTATTCTGATAAAAGATACAAAAAATAGTATTTCGAAACAGTATTCACAAACTATCGAGTGAGCACATTAAAAAAATTTGTCTCAGTAATTACGTCTCTTTCCAAGTATACTTCTTTCTCTTTCCAAGTATACTTCTTTCTCTTTCCAAGTATACTTCTTTCTCTTTCCAAGTATACTTCTTTCAGGCCATGCAGGAAGAATACTAACGATTATAAGAACCATGGAGGAAAAAAAGATTGCCAAGCTCTAGTAGTATAGTGCAATGCATCCACAATGGATATATTTTCTTTTCGGGTAGGACTTACATGAAGTATTGCTGCACTAGTAACTAAATCGTTAGCCTCCACAGTGTCAACGATGGGACCTTTGGCAGCATCCTCTACAAGTTCCTTCCCTACACAAGACATATTGAAACCGTACACATTTTCCCAAAATGGAAGACTAGTTCCACCAATTCCAAATCCTGCAACAAGCTGAAAAGTAGATAGAGAAGTTACTAACAACAGCAATAAATGTAATTTCATGATCAGACCAATCACGAGGTGAACCAAACTAAAGCAGACTTACAATTGTGGCAGTATCTGGTAAGATGGCACCTCCAGGCTTCAACCAACGATCCCTTGCAAAGAGCACTGAGCTGAGCATTGACTCATACAACAAGCAATAGCCCATCCATTCACTCAATAATACGTCAACACTGTGAGGCTGAATCTCTATGTTCTTATCAAGTTCTTCTACCATACCATTAACCACTTCAACAGTCCCACTTGACATGCCACAATCCCCAGTCTGTTTCCTATTCCGCAAGAGACCGTTATCTTTTGCAATCTGTAGCCAAGTTCAGTAAATGGGATGGTGTAAAATAAACCATCAGAGAAATAAGGAAACTAAATAACTATATTGAAGTTGATTCACTACTTGAGTAGCCACTGCTGCCATCTTTTCACTTGCTTCAACTGCAATAACCCTTGATGCACCTGCTTTTGCAGCAAAGAGACTGGAGAAGGGAAGGAACAGATGAAGATTACATAAACATTGTAATTAGATGAATTACGAGGAGTGTATGGTTTGTCAACATCAACAAAACTCCGAATGAAAAACATGACAAGAAAGGGGTGAATATGTCTATGTATACAGTCTACGGGAGCTGCTTGTCGTTATTGCACGTCATTATAATGTTAAAATGGCCCAAATGAAAAATTGCAGCCAATTGCACCAATTTATTTTCCAGCTCACCTAAGTATGCCTGTTCCACAGCCCACATCCATCACAGCTGCATTGTGGAAGAGAGATGGGTTTTGCAAAATAGCTTGCATATATGCATCCATTCTGACCTGCATAAAAAGTAGTGTTGGTGATATATTACTTCAAAAATGAATCATTTTATGATGTTCTGTTAAAAAGTAGACTGGGAGGCAATATAGCACCTTGTCACTTAACATCTCTCTGTGTATGCCAAAAGAGCTATATGAACCAAAGTAGCTTTCATTTACATTCTTGATATCCTTCGAATAAAAATTTCTTCTGGTTATTTTTAATTGATCGTCTTCCTGCGTCTTATCGTTCAATTTCAAGGTCTCTGTGGCTTTCACGGTATTCTCAATCACGGCCTCTAAGTTACTTGGAGTATTCAAATAACCATGTGAAGTAGAACTACAATCTGCCATTTCATTTTCCTTGCTTCCGTTGATATGAAATGGAGGATCTGCTCTATTCATTCCATCAACATTGCAATTACCACAATTGGAATCTGTATTTCTCTGAAGATTGTTGGTGATAGGTGAAATGTCATCATCCTCTTCGTCTTCTGCAAAACTGTACAAAATGGGATCATCTTCACTGAAGGGTTTCAGGTATTTATCATCATTCCAAAGAGCCTTGATTTCATTGAGATTGAGTGTTTGGTGCAAATGGTTCTGTAAATCTTGGCTTGATTGACACAAGAAACCACAGCTCCAACACCTATTTTCTGCTACCTGATCAGTACCAGGAGTGGTAAAAAAAATGAGTCAACACTTGTTTGAGAGCTAACCAGATTTGTAAACTAAAAGACTAAGATCTGTTGATCATATCTTTTCTGGAGCATTTTGTCAAGAAATAGCCAACGAACATGAAACTCACAAAATTTAAAACTACTAAAAAAAACTTGGCTAACCTGAGATCGTATGTAGTTGATAATTTTAAACGAACCATAAAAATCTAAACCCAGAGCCTTCCTAATGCCGTGAAAATCAAAATTATGGACAGAGTTGCAGTGGTTGAACAGCGTGGCGCAGTCATTATACTTCGATGTGCAGAACAAACACAGAAAATTCAAGTCAAATCCTTCTTCACCTTCTTCCTCGTCTGCATTCCAATCGTCCCAGTCGTCTTGTACATCTTCTTCCTCCTCCTCCTCGTCTTCTTCCTCTTCCTCTTCCTCTTTTCGTTCAATCTTGTTCATGTTGCATACTTCTCTGTCGAGTTCTTTGGGAAACTGATCCATGGAGTATGTCGAGAGGAAACAGAGTATCAAAATTATAGTTTTCCGGTAGCTTGCCGGCGATGCTTAAACCCTATCAACCAAGTACC